GTAATAGGCAAACTGGCTTCGGCACTTCGTGTGCATGTTGAAATCTCTAGTCATGTGGTAGCTACTGTCGATTGGTCACATAACCTGCCTCTCTGTCGATGTTCCTTATTCCGTTAAAAGGGCGTGACCGTGTAAACAACTCTAACTACCTATTTACAGTAGTCTATCTAAACCTTACCGACAGGTTTGGTTTCTTTGCTTAGGAGGGTTGGGGCCTCTGGCTTCTCTCTCTATGTTCCTGCGGGCAGGGGCATATCACACTTTTGTAAGTTGGGTGACTCCCAGAGCAGCAATGGTGGCTAACTCCATTGGTCATTTCCTTGTCGGCGATGGCCAGAAGGTGTCTGAGCTGATAGCGCATCCGTATTAGACAAAGAGGTTGTCTCCTAACTCATTTCAATTGGTGCATTTCTCACATAGTGTGAATATTGTGAATTTTTTCTAGAGTTGTTTCCTTGGCAGTATTCTAGACTCGAGTATGCATTGACGAGGACGTCGATCTTCCCTAGGGGGGGAGAGTGTCGCGAATGTGACTTCGAGTATCGAAAGTTATCTGTCGGCTAGTCCTTACGGACACTCTTACCTTACTGCCACGATGGCAGGAGGTCGGTATTGCTGGACCCTTTATCAGTCCCTCTTGTTCAAGTGTTAGTAAACTGAATTTTGCATCTGTACTTGGCCGGATGAGCATAAGGACGGAATTCCTAAGTGTCTATTCAGCCAAGCATACTTGGCCCGGCTTTTTAGTTCTCTTTTGCTCTGTCTTGCACTGGCTTGACAAGAACCCTTGCGTATTGAGATTAGTCCCTCAATATCGCTACATGATAGTTTACCGTGTCTACCAAACACCCTCGCTATCATGCCCTTTGTGTTAGTCTCAATTCGGTCCCAAATGCTATTTATGGAAAGTGTTTAGATTTGCTCATTTGGCATATCTACAGAATGTAGAGATTGTTTTGAACACAATGGTGTTCGTCCCATGTCCAACTTCACAATCTAAGGACATTCCATATTTAGTAAGTTTCAAGTTTGTCCCAGAGACTAACTCCTGATACTAAGGGAGGCTTGGGGTGAAAGCCCAAAGCGTGTGTTCCTCAAGGGGTGGGGGGGCCTGTCGGGGGTTCTAAATGTATAGTAGGGATAGTGGGTAGGTCGGGCATGGCCGACCAACCTGAGGCATAGTCTAGCTTTCGCTTGCGTGCCTGTCCTTGTTCTGTGTCCAGCTTGGGTCTAAGCCCAAGTTCCATTCCATGCTAGCCGGTGGAGTACCCATGCTCTCTCGTTAGGCCACCGGTATGCCGAAATAGCGCCAGACTCCATTTTGCGTGCTGGTCCTGGCATTGGGATACTGGTTGCTCTAGGATTGTTCCAAGTCGCTCCAGGCTCTTGTTCTTTCACTCCTTGGGTTGTATGCTTGGGAGTTACTCCGTGGTTCAGTTCCATCACTCCTTGGCTCCACACTTGGGAGTCTGGCACTGTTCCTTCATTCAATGGCCCAAGGCCCTGAACCACAGGTTCCACACCACTGTCCTGTGGACATGTGGCATGGACACGTGGCATGTGACATGTGGCATGTGTCACGTGGCATAAAGAGGGTTTAGGTTCCGCTTCGTGGTGTTATCCTATGGTAAATCACCATAGGATAAAGGGTCAAAACCACGTGCACTACACAAGTAAATTCAACAAATAAAATACAAATATAAATATAGATCCAAACATTAAAAGCAATCTAAAAACACTTCTCAAGCTCCGCAACTGTAAGGCTTGCTTGTGGATGTAATGGTTGATCTTAGGATCTTGGTTTAGTTCTTGCACAAAAAAGTATTAAATGTGCTTGCAGACTAAATATATCTTTCCAATGTTCTCCATTTATGTAAAATCTGGACAGGTACAAGATGGATTTTTGTATATTCTAATAGTGTAGCTCGTATCTTTTGACAACTCAATCACAATAACAAACTCTTTAACCATAGCATTGATGTAATTTGTCTTTGTGATTGTGCACTTTAATTCGTTTGCCAACTTGATCTTTTCTTGCGTACCTTTCAAAATGGAAGACTTATATTATACAGCCTTCCCATTCCTAGCTGGTCGTGTATGCTGGTCTAGTGTTGACATTGGTGGCATAATAGTATCAATAGCAACATTTGAGGAAGTCTTCAGCTTGAAACCTACTCTCTCTAGACTTTCAATCTCTTTTTTCAAAAGATTGCAGCTTCACTCAGTAGCTTCACAAAATCCGGCTTTAAAATAATTGAGCTGTGGATCCCACTTGTATGAGTAACAGTAGTTCCACAATAGTAAATCCAACTTGACTGACAGCCCTTTATCCCTAGATGTCGACAGCCCTAGAAACATGGCATTGCTAAAGAACTTGAACTTATGCGAGACAATGAGCTTGACTCCTAATCATTCCGGAGCAACGTGCATTGCTTTTGGCACTGACTCTTCAAATTGCCCAATTGATACAAGAAATTGGTTTACGAGCAATAACTGTTGCAAATATAACTTTAGGTATCGAAAGTTACCTATCAGCTAGTCCTTTCAGATATTCTTTTCTTACTACGATGACCGTAGGAGGTTGGTATTGTTAGATCCTTTATCAGTTCAAGTGTTAGTAAACTAGACTTTGCATTTATACTTGGCCGGACGAGCATAGGGAAAAAATTCCTAAGTGTCTATTTAGCCAAGCATACTTGGCCCGGCTTATTAATTCTCTTTTGCTCTATCTTGCACTGGCTTGACAAAAACCCTTGCATATCGAGATTAATATCTTAATATTGTTGGATGATAGCTTACCATGCCTGTCAAACACCCTTGCTATCATACCCTTTTTGTTAGTCTCAACTCTACCCCTATTAACTAAAAACGAGCTTGGAAAGTAAAAACTAGATGAACTGGTGCCGAGTGAACCCATTGATGGTACTCTCAAAAGAAAGATGAAGGGGTTAATAACTTATTCATTCAAGCATCCTCCAATACTTGCGCAACTTCTCATTTCTCAAAAGAATCTCTACATCAAGACCATAGCACCAATAAGACATTATTAATACCAAAGCTTCCACTTAGGAAATAGATGATGCTAATCAAAAAATATCAACAACACAAATATGTGTGGCCAACCTTATCACATGTCTAGCAACAAACATTATGGTCATAACTACATCCTTGCCCTTGTCTTTGAACACAAGCAACAATAGCACTTCTATCAGAACAAGATCATCTCCCACAAAAAGTGGCATTAAAGCATATGCAACAATAAGTGAAAGAAGTGATATTCCATAATGTTGTGCTAGTCAAAGAATGTTGTCTAAGGTGACTGGAGCTAGTGCATATATGAGTCCCATAAGACATTGCTGAAGCATTGGCCACAATATTCCCAATTTATTCCGCTCCGACATAATTGGCTATATACAAAGTAGGAGGATTTAGAAGTAAAATTGCATCGTTGACGAAAATGACCCCTAATAAAGATAATGCAATTCTTATAAGGCTTGTCAATATGTCTAAATAATTGTTTGATTGTGCTCAAACCATTGTACCATTGCAATGTTATCCCTTTAAAACATGTGGGGAAATTATATAGACACTAAATATCATCCCAAAAATGATAAGTGGTAATCACTATAAAGTGATCAAACTAATGATATACATCATCCCCAAAATTCCCACAAAAGAACTCCAACTGAACTCAATGATGGGCAACAATAGTAAGAGATACACCACATGCCATGAATGCCACTATCAATTGAGTCTGATTGTTCAATTGCAATTACATAGCATTGAGAAATTGCCCCAACTGTTACTCTAGAGTCAAAGAAGGAGGAAGTTACTATTTTGCCATAAAAATAAATGGAAAAAAGCAAAAAAAATAAAAAGAAAAAAAGAAATTGAAAAGCTACATAAATAAGAGAGATCTAAATAATGCAAAAGCTAAATCTAAACCAAACACTCCTTAAAGACAATTAGAATTACCCTTCACTTTCACTAATATGAGTGCATTAAATATGGAAATGGAATACAAAAATGTGTAATCTCAAAACCCTAGCTTATATACAGGAGCAAGTGGTTCAAATTGAAATCAATTTTATGGCTATCAAAATTCCACTATGTTAATATTAATATATGGCATTATCAAAAAAATTATTTTACTTATATTTTATAGAATATTTATATTAATTAATAATATAAAACTAAATAAATATTATTATACATGAAAAAGTTCAATATGCACAATAAATATTTTTCAGAAATTGTTCAATAAGGAACTTCTTAACTTTAGAAGTTTATAACTACAGCAAGCTATATAAAATTAAATATAAAATGCTAGCTTTCAAAGATGTCATCTTGATCATACATTTTAAATTTAGAAAAATGTTTTAAATTAAAAGAATGACGTTAATTATTTTTCACTTTAAGTAAAATGGGAATATATCTATGATACCCATATATATTCTATAATAATCCTCAATTTTAATAAACTTTTCTCTAATTCATTTATAATGGGGTAGGGGATATGGGCAATTCCAAATATAATGGGGATAATGGGTAGGTTGAGGTATGAACTACTTGAGATATTATTTATCTCCCCATTAGGTGTGCTATCTTTTGTTTTGAATCTTGCTTATATCTAAGCCTAAACTCTACCATGTTAGTTGGTGTATTTTGCTATAAATATGCTAAAATCATCTAGCTTTGTTTTGCATGTTGATTTTAGAGTTGGAATTCTAAATGCTCTAAAACTATTATGATATTGCTCCATGTTCATGTTCCTTCATTTTTTTGTTATATGCTTAAGAGTTTAACTTCATCCTTTTGTTCACTGTACCATAGCTCTAAAACTTAGATTCTGTTCTGGTGCCCTTGTTCAAGGGTTAAATTCCATTTTATAATTATTCACTATAGGGAAGTTATGGTAGCTCTTCATCCTGTTCATTCCATATACTAATATTGTATAGAGTTTTTCTCTCAATAACAGCATAGGATATTGCACTTCCTACCATCAACAAAGAGAGGTACCAACTGAAAAGCAATGTTCCCATAGCTTTGGACTGGTTGACAAGGTTTTCACTGCCACACTCGATCTTTTGGTGGTGACGAACAAACACTTGGCAACCCAGAGGCAGGAACGTTGCTGGGAACACAAGAAGTAATGAGAGCTGAAGCAGCCAAATGCCATGGAAGATGATACAAATTGACTTCCAAAACTTGATCATCATGGCATTGTGATTCTGTGGCACAAACACTTCCACGAGGCTTGAGAACATACAGGCAGTCACAATGAGCTGTAGAAGCATATGATAATGTCCTTCCACGCCGACATGATCCGTGGAATGCCAATGAAAGAGGAAGAGTTCTTGGGCGAACGCTGCTGCTTCCATGAGACTTACAAAAGCACTTGGCAAGTGTAGCTTGGAACGTAAACAGAGTGCATAGATCATGAACGGAATAGCCATGGAGATGTGCTCCAGGTCAGGATAGCTTCGTGTTGGCTGAAGAATGCAGTGGAAAGTGATGACTCCTGCACTCCCAAGGAAGAGAATGTAAAACTCAGCTGGCTTTGTAATGAGGGAGAGTCGCCCAGGTTTTTCATGGCCTCGAAAACGAGATGCTGCATTCGTGAGAAAAAGCAAGAGTCCCCAAAAGATGAACGCAATTGCTGGAATACCATGACCAAGGAACACAAGAAATCTGTTTGCCATTGTATCACATGTTTCCTTGACAAGCTTGAAATTTAAGGTGATGTATCACCGGGTCAAGGACGGTATTCTTATACTCATGTTAAAGCCGGTCATTGGTTGGTTGGCTATTCATTGATTGACCAGTATTTGAAGAGCTTAGACTTTGATCAAAGTAAAATATCGAAAGTTCTGTATCCACCTTGACCAACATTTCTGAGTGACTAACTTCTGTCATCTTTATTTGTCATGTATTCTTCCATTGACCACCACTATATGCTGGAATACCATGACCAAGGAACACTAGAAATCTGTTTGCCATTGTGTCACATGTGCTTGAAATTTAAAGTGATGTATGACCGGGTCAAGGACGGTATTCTGACACTCATGTAGTCGGTCATTGGTTGGTTTGATCCGAAGAGCCTAGACTTTTCAAATTAAAGTATGGAAAGTTCTGTATCCACTGTTCATTTGCCTATTTCTGGGTTTGCTATTGTATTGTCATGTTCTTCCATTGCCTAAACTTTGATCAGAGTAAAGCCTCTGAATCCACCACGACCTAGACTCATGGAGGTCAATTGCTCATCAGCTTTTTCATTTGAGTTCTGGATTAACAAGTTAGCATTTCTTAAGAACTGCCAAGACGAGGAAGAAATGAAGGTATGCTGAGGCCAATAGATGCGTCCTCATGTTCCTTTGCCCGAAGCTTATACCTCCAACTTTGAAGGCTGTCCCAGAACGTGATGCCTAAAAATGTGACCCAAAAGCCAATAAACACACCGCAGCCAAATGCCCACACTGAAGCCTCACGGAAGAGGAAGTCCTCCCAACTTTTGTGACTTGCAGGGTGCTCTTGATCCTTTGTTGCATAGCCACAAGGAGACAATGGAAACCCACAAAGGTTCTTATTGCCTTGGAATGCAAGTGGAAACCGAGTGTTTAAATTGTATGCAGTTGGGACCAATCCGCTTAAGTTGTTGAATGAAACATTAAAGGCTGACAAAGGCAATTCCCCAAACTCGTTTGGGATCCTGCCTTGGAGCATGTTCCAGGATAAGTCAAGCGACTGAAGCTTTTTCAAGCTGGAAAGGTTGAGAGGTATGGCACCGGTGAACTGGTTGTGCGAGAGGTTAAGATGCATTAGTCCAACCAGTTGCCCAATTTCTTCTGGGATGACACCCTCGAGAGAGTTGCTTGAGATGTCCAATGAAGTCATGTTGTTTGCAACAACGATCGTTGTCCGATCAAACTGTATCCTTGCGTCGTTGACTATGATGACCAGGCTCAACTCTACCCCTGTGTAAATGCCAAGATTCAAATCCCCACTCGTGTTGCCCTTGAAACCTTGAAACTTCCAAAGCACGCGTGGCAGCTGCCCTGTGAGCTTATTGTTTGACAGATCTAGAATTTGGAGCCAAATGAGATTGGTGGTGCAATCTGGAATCTGCCCAAACAGCTTGTTGTATGCAAAAGACAATATCATAATTCCTGACCAGCTGCAAGTTTCTTGACTGTGAAATGGTTCCTACTATAGTCCATGACTCTGAGATAAGTGGAATTCAAGCTTTTTGCTGGAATTGTGCCGCTCAACGTGTTGTTGGAAATGACAAAGAAGACCAAGCTTGTCAAGTTACTCAAGTCAAGCAGCACCTCACCCGTGAAATTGTTCTGCGCAAAGTTGACAACCTTGAGCTGGGAGCAATTCCCTAGCCTTGAGCTAATCTCTCCCTGGAACTCGTTCGTTGAGAGATCCAAGTAAACCAGGTTAGTGCATGCACCAAACGTTGGCATTTTGCTCCGTATCAAGTTTCCATGGAGGTCGAGATAGCCAAGATTGGTGCATTTGTCGAGTGGAGGAACTTCATTTCTGAGATAGTTGTCACTCAAGTCAAGTATCTCAAGACGATCCAGCTGGCTAATGCCTTTTGGAATGCTTCCATCTAGATAGTTTTTGTTGAGGTGCAATTGCTGGAGAGCCTTGATCTCTGTGATCAAATGCGGAATGCTTCCTGTCAGGCTGTTAACGTCCAAGCGAAGTAGTACAACAGGAGAAGACGCATTAAACATGGGAATGTTTCCTGTAAAGTTGTTGTAATGGAGCTCTAGGTGCGTTAGAGATGGCATGCCCACCATAACATCCGAAGGAATCGATCCGTTGAGAAAATAGTTTTGCGATAGTCCCAACCACTTTAGCCTACGAAGACCAGCAAAAGAGCCAGGTAATGGGCCATATAGAAGGTTGTCAGACATGTCTAGAAATGTGAGGTGCGAAAGGTTTCCAAGAGTGATTGGTATAAGCCCCTCCAAATTGTTTGTAAAAAGTGATAAACTTTCCAATTTCTTGAGCTTACCCAGCGATGGAGATATAGAGCCCATTAAGGTGTTGTTTTCCAGACTGAGGAACCGCAGCTTGGAGCAGTTCCCAACACTCGATGGAATAGACCCGCTCAAGAAATTATCAGATAGCCAGAGCTCAGTGAGATTCTGGAGCTGCCCTAATGTTGCTGGAATATGGCCAGTCAATTGGTTCCCTCTCAAGTTGAGCTCTGTGAGTGAGGAGCAATTTCCGAGGGTGGTAGGAATTTGCCCCATTATTTTAGATGGAGCTCTGAAAGATATGAAAGCTGCCCAAGCCTTGGCGTGAGAGTTCCCACCAAGGCTTCATCAAGATCCACAGAGGATAGATGTATGGACACTACTTGGCGTTTAGAATTGCAACTAATGCCTCTCCAGCTGCAAATCCCATCCTTGCTTCCTTCATGCCAGTTAGAAAAGGTAGAATTGCTTTGGAACATGCCTTGCTTGAACTCCAGTAGAATTTCCATGTCCATGATCTTATACAAAAGAAAGAAAACCTTAAGAGTTTCATTTCAGAATCATGTGATCATACATCAGACGACAGATTCATGCCAAGTGCGAAGAGAAGTACGATGCCCCAGAGTCATGGTCTGTTGTCAAAGTCATGCAACTACAAGTTTTTATCTTGATTGGCAAGCATGCTGTGCTGACTATGCTGCTGTGCTGACTGGCAACCATGCCATGTTTGACACCACACCATAAAAGTAGTGTTGCCATGTCTGTAAAGCATGAATAATAGAGAGTAACTCTTGCTCATATGTGGAATAATGTTGTTCTGCAGGATTCAAAATTTGACTCTCATATGCAATAGATTGTCCCTCTTGTATAAGAAATCCTCCTAATGCATAACCACTTGCCATCATATGTCACCTCGTAAAGTTTTGATGGATCAACATTGCACAAAATTTGAGCCTCGCTCAACAATTGTTTCAACACCACAAAACTCTCCTCTTGTGGCTTCTTCCACTCGAATGGCACATTCTTGCGTAACAACCGTGTCAAAGGAATAGCCACCTCTACAAATTTATGCTGGAAACATTGGTAGTAACTAGTTATACCAAGAAAAATGTGTAACTCGGCCACTGAAGTTGGCGTAGGTTAATTCTCCACCATAGCTACCTTCCTTAGATCCGTCTTGACACCCTTAGATGTCACAATATGGCCTAGATATTTCACCTCTAACTTTGCAAACTTGCATTTTCTCTTCTTCATATAAAGTTTGTTGTTATGGAGTAACAAAAGAACCTTGCATAAATGCACCTTATGCTCCTCCATATTCTTGTTGAAAACAAAAATATCGACTAAGAAAATCTTCACAAACTCATGAAGATAATGCGTAAATACCTCCATCATCAACCGAGTAAATATGGCTGGTGCATTCGTCAAACCAAATGGCATAACTGTAAACTCAAAATGCCTGAAGCTTGTGTTAAATATGTGAAACACCAAATCCCTATGCCCCAAAGTGGAGCCAAAAGGGTGCCACGTGGTGGTGGCTGAAGCAAAAGCCAAACGAGCGTAACACATTTAGATTGAAAGCTCCGACTTGAAAGGTTGAGAGCAGGAGTGGAACTCCCAATGAAGTGCTCGAGGAACAAACACGAAGTGAGTGATAAGTGAGTCTCTAGAAAAGGGACACAAGAGGACTAACACATGACACATAGAAGAGTTTGAGATGGAGTCTAAGATGGACCCGAGATGGACCCGAGATGGAGTCTGAGATGGAGTCCGAGATGGACCCGAGATGGACCCGAAATGGAGTTCAAGATGGAGTCTGAGATGGACCCGAGGTGGACCCGAGATGGAATCCGAGATGGACCGGAGGTGGACCTGAGGTGGACCTGAGGTGGACCCAAGATGGAGTCCGAGATGGACCCGAGATGGACCCGAGATGGAGTCTGAGATGGAGTTTGAGATGAACTCGAGATGGAGTCCGAGATGGAATCGGGACTGAGACTGAGACCGAGACTGAGATCAAGTCCGAGACCAAGGTTGAGACCGAGACTAAGTCCGAGTCCGAGTCCGAATACTAATATAGGCAGTTGGGTGAAAGCCCAAAGCGATCGTCCCCCGGGGGGGGGGGGAGCTGCAAGGGGTTCCAAAAGTATAGTAGGGAGAGTGTGGGGGTTGGATACCAGTGGAGCCAATTTGGCTAGAAAAGGCTAGTTTGGCCCAGGAAGGCTATGCCCAGGTGTTGTGTGATGGGTTAACCATTCGAAAGTCCAAGACTAGAGTGAATACAGACCAACAAGTGGGTTAGCTTGGTGAAATGTTCAAGGGCCAGCTATAGTTCCCTCAGGAGATTGAATAATCGATGCTCCTAGTCCAAGTATGGGTGGCACTACCTACTTGGATACCTGGCATGGCTCAATGGAACCTCACTCTAAGCCCATGGTTAGAGCACCCAAAGGCAGAAGGCGGGGAGAGTAAAGAGTGTTAAGGAGTGAATCTAGGATGACCACTCATGGACGGATGGCCCAATCTTTGAGAAACGAGATCACAATACAAGTGGTGTTGGACTACTGATGTGACCAAGGTGACTGAGCATGGCCTAGTGTAATGGGCTAATATGTTGGTGGTAACGGGCTAATATGTCGGGTGTCGGTCATGGGATCGGACACGTGGAGCACTTGGACCAAGCGCAAAGGTTAAGTGGCATGGATGCC